AACGACGCTGATGTCATTAATGTTTAACAGTTAAAGCAACAGTGACAGAGCTACACACTCGGAGGTTTAGTCCAGTTGAACAAGTTGTGTTTTGAATCCCAACATGTAAATAAGTAAAAGAAACAAGTATATGTGTGTGTGTGTGTGTGTGTGTGTGTGTGTGTGTGTGTGTGTGTGTGTGTGTCTCCACTGAGCTCCTTCCTTACCTTCCCCTTCAGATCCAGGATGAATATCGCTGAGGCGGACATCTTGTTAGAACCCGCAGCGGCCCCGCACGCACACACACGCACAAACCTGAAGCTCAACTCGAGGCTCCACTCGTGTCACTGTGTTTCCTCCATCCACGCTACAGACACACGCACCGACCCGAGCTGCTCGACATGGACGCGACCCTTTCTTTTTCCTGTCGGGGCCGTGACGTCATCACAGACAGGTGAAACATTTACCTGAGCAGGTACGGGAGGGGGAGGGGGAAGGGGAGAGGTTGCTGTGCTGATCAGGTTTGTCCGGCAGGGGGCGCGACAGACACACAGATCAGAGGCACCTGTAACCTTTCAAGCTCTACCACACTTCCGGGTACTTTTTACTCCACAGAATGTATCTGATGGGTCTACTAAACTTTGAACACGTACATAAAGATGACACGTGCATAAACACACACACACACACARATATATATATATACTTTACTGTACATATAAACATACTTATAGTCAAATACATTTAAATACACATATACATAAAGCGTATATACATATTAATATGCAAACACATAAACATACATATACATAGCCTATATACATATAAACATATAAACATACATATTTATATACATATTATACATATGTATATAATATACATATACATATATCATATACATATACACCAAGACATCAAACTAATATTGATTTATTTCCTCTGATCCATATTCTGAATGTATATGACCAAAAAATTCCCCAAAATATCAAAACGATACTCATGTAATATCTCCTTTATAATCTATGAACACAGTCCTTTTCTTCATGGACCTGTTGGGGGCTTTTCGCATGACAAAGACAATGTATATTCAGCATTAGTAAAACAATTATTGAACCTTTAGGAGCTTGAAAATGTCACTGTATAAATAATCTCTCCCTTTTCTTTTTTGTATTCTGTGATGTTTATATTGTTTAATAAATTGAGCTGCACCTCTGTAGGATATAAGTTGACCTACATGTGCTTTTAAAGGGGGTTTTATTTTTCATTGGGTTCTGCTGTAGTGACCTGACAATGTGACCTGCAGCCCTTTGGCCTGAGGGCTGTAGAAACACTTGCTGGTCACATGCCTCAGGAACCTCTTAAGCCATAAACCTTGCTCTACAAGATATCCACGTATTACCGGCTCCCCCTCTTTAAGCCTCTCTGTGTCGTGTTATGTCCCAGATCCCAGTTTCCATTCATATTTCTGTGTCTGCTTCTTATCTGCCCTGTGTAGGAAGGCAGTGATGGAAAAAACATACTGTCATAACACAGGCGTGTAAATGTGTGCTGCTGAGAGGCAGATAGAGATCGGTCTTTTCCAGTGTCCCACTCCTTTTGTCCACACAGTGCTGGTTCTCCTTATCAGGACATTGTTTTTCTAATGAGATATCAGAGCTATAAATGAGATACCACACCTTAGACATGTGTTCGCAGAGGGTGTGAGCTGTAGTAAGAACTTACTGAAGGATCATCATTTTTTATTGAAGCTTGTACAATTCGGCCACATCCTAGTTTGCCAGGATTTGTTCCCTTTCCAGTCAAAGTTAGTATCTACAAATATTCGGGTGTTAAACATCAGCATGGCAATGCAGATCAGTCTGAGACTACACAAGGAGCTTTTTTCTCCAATGTAAACAATCTCTGAGTCCATTGAGACCTCGTCATGTATCCACCACTCAAGGGCTGTCTTGTTGAGAGAGAAAACATACTGTCAGGGTCAGAGGAGTTGAGCTCAGCGTGGTGGTTCAGAGTGAAAGAGAGGTGAGGTGCTTTGATAATGGCTGTAAGTGATAGTTTTGGCATTGATTAAGTATACCCATGACTTTTCAGCACCTACCACTGATACGTTACATCCTCCTCCATTTCATTAAAGTAAAAAGCTTTTATTTTGATATATAGATAGATAGAAAGATCGACAGATGGTTGATA